CTCTCTCCTTCTCTCTCTCTCTCTCTCTCCTTCTCTCTCCTCTCTCCTTCTCTCTCTCTCTCTCTCTCTTCTCTCTCTCTCTCTCTTCCCTTCTCTCTCTCTCTCTCTCCTTCTCTCTCTCTCTCTCCTTCTCCCTCTCTCTCTCCTTCTCTCTCTCTCTCTCTCCTTCTCTCTCTCTCTCTCTCCTTCTCTCTCTCTCTCTCTCCTTCTTCTCTCTCTCTTCCTTCTCTCTCTCTCTCTCCTTCTCCCTCTCTCTCTCCTTCTCCCTCTCACAAAGGAAATGGAGCGAAATTGTGAAGTTTAACACAGACGACAGATAAAGTTCTTTAACGGTGTAAGAATAGGTCAAGAGTTTAGAGACATGGCAGACAATGTGACAGCGGGAGCAGTTCAAAATATACGATAATAACGATGAAACTACAAGAGACTAAATAAACCCTCCCAATAAGTGGAAGACTTTCACAGTTAACTTTTTAATTCAGCTTGGTAATGCCGTGCTTTCGTAAGATCGACTCGGAATATTTTAATATTATAGATCATGGTAGAGTCCATATATTGAGACTGTATCATTGTTGTAATAATATTATTTAGGAAATAGTGTTCATAATGATTCGAAGGCACGAATGATTCCATCTCGGAAAAGAAATGTGTGTAAATGTTATGTCTTTAACAGTGACGAAACCCACAAGCTTGCCGGGTCTCCCAAAATATATAACGTAAAGAAATTAATGCATTAAAATGAAAACAAATAACATCAAAATTGAAGATGGCATTTAGAAAACGAATATAAAATAGGCAGAAGTAAAAATAGTCGTTCACGAAATTAAATCCAACAGCAATGAGTTTTATTGATCTTGCAATGCGTTTTGGCGGGCATTTGCCGCACAGAGACAGAGACTCGACAGATAGACTGTATTCATGTTGACAAATGTAGAAAAAGGTATGAATAAGAGTGAATATACCTTTACAAAATGAGATAATTAACCGGTCAAATATATCTTCGTCCGAAGATATGAATGAGAATGAAGCTATTCATTCTCATTCATACCAGACATCCTCAGTTGCGAGAGAAAATGAATGCATAACTCGCCTAACACTTTGATTGCTGCTTCATATCTCTCAACTAAGGAAATTTTGTTGTCTTATTTTACTGTTTTATTATGCATTATGTCTTTTTCTTTATTTTTATGAATAATGCCTAATTCTGCTCATCTTTTTTGTCTACTGTGTCGTCCTCTGTCATGGAACTCTAACGACAAACAAATGAAGTGCAAAATGCAAGCAACGAAAAGCACAAATATTTAACTTTACATTCTACCGACGTTTCGTGGCGTCAATGAATAGGAGGACTCACAGCGGTTACACAGCCAAAGCCTGGCCATGATTGAAAAATTAGTTCTGACAAGTATTTTCAACGATGAATATTTAAAGCGACAACAGCACAAGGCATGCAGGGATATTATTGAATTACATTAATAGGACAATCATAACATGATTTCTTGCATTCACACACGCACACTATTCAAAACTATTGAATCTTGGAGTAATAATAAACCCATTTCTTCTGAAATCCTAAGCCACTCCTACTGGCAACTTACGTGTTTATCCGTGACAGAGAAGACCGAGGAGCTGTAAGCCTCCTCACACATTTCTTGGTCAGTGATAGTGACAGCTACCTCGTTTAGCTTCGTGGGGTGCGGCCCGGCTGGGATAAAGGGAATAAAATTAGATGAAGAAAAAAAATAAGACAGAAAAATCCTTTGCGAAAAAGGTGTAGAAAGATTCATTATCATGATTACTGGTACTAGGACTAGTACTATCATCTTTATCATTATAATAATGGTGATAATAACGATATTGATAATGTCATAATGTTATGGATAATAATGAGAAATAATACTAGTAATAGTAAAACTGAAAATAAGAATAACAAAAAACACGTCTAATTAACATGAACAATAACAATAATAGTAACAATAATAATTAATAATAATAAGAAGAACAATAATAAAAATAATAGCCAAACAATAATAATGATAACAATAATTGTAATAATTATTATAATAATAATAATAATAACAATAAGAAGAACAAAGGCAACAATAATAACAATAATGATAATAATGACAATAATAATAATAATATTAATAATAATATTGATAATAATAATAATAATAATAATAATAATAATAATAATAATAATAATAATAATAATAATAACAACAATTATAATAATCATATTGATATAATTATCATCATGAACACACCAAGAAAAACAACAACAAAATTCTGACATTTTCACTAGATAGACCTGTTGGTCGTACCTCAGACAATTTGCCTAATCCAGGAATCCCAAAAAGGAGAGCTTGGCTAGTCAATCTGACTAATCCAGTAATCCCAAAAAGAAAAGAGAGTTTGACTACCTAATCAGACAAGCCTACCGGAAACCTTACATAGCGAAGACAAGTAAAAACACGACTGTCTATCGAAACACCCGTTGCGAAAACACTAATGGGCATTCAAACGAGCCAATAAGAAGCCTTATAGATCACAAAACGACTAAACGATCACGTGGGCCGACCTCAAACCTCAAACTCTGAAAACAAAACGGACAAGCGAATCGGAAGCCAAGCATGTCGTAAACACGAATTTGCGATTGGACAAACCGGTCGCAAAACCCAACTAAATCAGAAAAAGAAAACGCAATGATGATGATTTAGAACTAAACTGGGTTTTGCTTCATTACAGTACCTACAGGTCTATTTACCTCTCTCTCTCTCTCTCTCTCTCTCTCTCTCTCTCTCTCTCTCTCTCTCTCTCTCTCTCTCTCTCTCTCTCTCTCTCTCTCTCTCTCTCTCTCTCTCTCTCTTACCTCACATATTAATAAATTGGAATCTCTCCCTGCAGTGTTTTTGTTCTATAGCTGTTGGCACCATTGCACCATTCATAACTAGAAATAATTAAATCATCAATCTTTGATCGGGGACCCTGTCACAAAATACAAACCAGACAAACCCATTAACCTATCAAACAACACAGCTAAACCAATCACAGAACAGAAAGGAACAGACAAACCTAATCAAAAACCACAATCAATGTAGATAACCCAATCAACCTCTCACTTGACACAATTAAATCCACTGGAATCCACAACTGAGTCAGACAAACCAATAACCCGACCACAAAAAAGATCGCGGTCCAGCAAACAGGCCATCCACCCCACTGCTGCCCCAATCACCTCTCAAACAGGCCCTCAAAGCGAAGTCCTCACCCGCCCCCAGCGAGCCCCAGCCCGTGACGACCGCCACTCGGCCCTCGAAGCCAGCGTCGGGAGGGAGGCAGACGGGCCCCACGCCGGCCGTCCACCTCAGAGGCGCCTCGAGGGTTAGCAGAGCGATGTCGTTCGCCTGCGGATACGGGTGCAGTTTTGTAGTAGAGGGAGGGTGTGTTCCCTAGAGTTATTTTATTTTTGGTCACTGCTCTTATTCGTGTCTTTATTGTCGCTGCTGTCGTTGTCGTTGTCATCACTTTAAACTTTAAACGTTCTTATAGGACAACAAATAACAAAACAAAATAAAAAAAATTTTATGGCTGAAAAATAAAAACCTGGTTATCATAATTACACACACATTTACTGTCTCCCCAAGGCACTACCTCTAAGCTTCTTTCAAGATAATTATCAAGGTCGTTTTAAATCTTGTTCGTGACCATTTTCAAAACACGCTACCTCACATTATACACGTATCATGAGCTCCCGATTTTTAATGCTAACGCAGTCTAGTCTAACAAGGCCGCAGAGATTGTACCATTTGGTTATTCGCCCTAAGTTGTGACACTTGTTGCAAGAACAAGCTTATACAAGGACTTCAACTAACTGATTCAAGACTTACGGAAGTCATGGGACTGAACATCGGGTGTTGAAGAACTTGCTTGGCCTTGATGACCTGGGTTGTGTTCTCCTGATACGAGGACAGGTCATGCAAGCCCGCTTTCACCGTAATCTCCAAACTGTTGGGTTTGGGAGAAGCATTAGTCTCCGCTGGATGAGAAAGAAGTCAGTCTGTCTTTATCTGTCTGGCTGTCTTTGTCAGTCAGTCAAGGCTATTCAAAATGACCGATTGCCTGACAAAAGCATATTTCATTGACAAGTAGCTCTCGCCGCCAACTCCGACAACTCCTCAGTTGAGAAAATGACGTCAGTGAGGAAAAGGAGAATCTACGAAGCCTCGCACAACAAAGAGCAGTGATGTCAGGGCAACTACTTGGCATCATTTGAAAGTTCGCATGTGGAAACAGTGCCTGAGTCGAGTGGGGCCTTGACGTAGAGCGCTGCCGAAACATATCACTGGTTGTTTCTGATAAAAACTAAAACCACTACCACACGAGGCGTCTAGTGCGGCAGATCATCGAAAGGACCAAAGATGCTGCACCTGAGCATGCATACTCATTGCCATGCATACAAAAGATAAAAGATTCCCCACAAATCGTCGATATCATTATCATCATCATCATCAGTATTCTTACAATTCGTTGTCGACGCAATGACTCGCTGTGACGACGTGCGTGGTGGTGACGATGGCTCCCCCGCACGCCATGCCGACGCCGCCAAGAGAGATCTCCACCCTGGCCATCCACGGATACTCGCCCACGCCCGCCTCCTCCCCGCCCACGATCCTGGAGGCTCCTGCGCCCGCTGGAGCCTGGCCACACACTGGGGAATAGGTGATGACGATGATTATGAAGCTCATTATCAAACATTTCTAAGCTACGCACCGTTAGCAATATCGTCCTTACTATTTCACCATCACTATTATCATAAAAATTATTATTAAATCATTATAATCAACAAAATCATCACTGTTAGTATGATTACTCTTTTGCCAAATATCATAAACGATCATTACAAACATTACCATCACCATTAATAATAATTAAAACTCAATAATCAATAATAATATCATCACTATCACTACTACTTATTAACATCAATTTCACCATCGTTACCACTGATATTATAATAATAATTTTCAAAGTCAGTAGTGACAAAGCCAAGTAAAAGACTGGCAATAACTGCAATAATAACCATAAAGACAATATTGATGGTAACAGTAATAATCTTTTAGACAACACGTGGCATAGCTCGGTGAGTGCTGGCTGGGTTCGCGACAGGCAAGTCCCTCCTAGTCAGCTGAGAATGACAGACATGAACTGGGGTCAAACTCAGGACTTCAGGGAAGGAGCCATTTAACCGCATCATCCAAATGTTTGCTATGCGAGTTCCTCTACATAAATGTCCTCTACGGCGCCTTGGATATGGGACCACCTTTGCGTGTTTTTGTATCCCATTTTCCTCACCATTGCCACACCCATGTGCTTGGACGCCAGGGCTGGCTCCATGTCCATCGTCGACGCCGCTGCCCGCACCGCCAGCTGTTAGGGGTTAGCGGGCGTTAGGTGGGTAGGGTCAACAGACCTTCATCGCGAGTGGAGAAAACCCTGTGGAGGTGGGATTTAACGTCTATTCCAAATTGTTTCCTCTTTTTAAAGTTTCCAATTTCTCAAGCTCGGCACTCACGTTCCACCCCCTCGATGGAGCACCACAGCCTCGGCCTTCTCCTCCTCCGCCTGAGCCTCTCGTACAAGAGGTACAAGGCTCGTCTCCCCGTCATCTTCCCGGGGCCTTTGTTTCCACAGAACCTGGGAGGGGGATGTGCATTTAATCATATTGGAATATACTACTTATAATTATGCTGTTCCTTTATATACAGAATGTCTTTATACTCATCATCTCTCTCAGTAGAGAGGCCTTTGTTTACATCGCGAGTGGAAGATCACGGCAGATGTTCTGTGCACTTTATCTAAGATTAAAACATCCTGGACACAAGATAAGTCTTTCTAATGAACCTATGTAATATATGAACATACAGTGGAGGGGAGAGGAGAGGAGGGAGATATGGGAGGGGAGGGAGGAAGAGGAGAGGGTGAGGAGGGAGGTAAGAAAGAGAAGGAGGAGGGGAGGGAGGGAGGAAGGAGAGAGGAAGGGAAAGAGCTCAGCAAAGACAAACGAGTGTGGTGCGATGTCTTGGTTATACGAAATGTTTACGGTCTAGCGTTCGGAATTTTCTTGGAATGAGATCAACAATAATATTCCCAATCGTGAGGGTAAATTATAAATAATATGATTAAAATATTTCTAAACTCACATGTAAATGAACATCATTTAGACACCTTACATAGCATCGCGTGAACTACACAAGAGCAAAGCAGTTACGCAGTCAGCACAAACAGCAGCGACTGACAAGAGAATAATAAAGACTCACTGTTTCTCAGATGTTTGGTCTTGAACGAAAAAATACTCTTTCCTGCAGGCAGACAGGGCGAAAGTCTTGCAGTTCATCTCGAGGTCGGTGCGCCCATCTCCCTGCGTGTGGGGAAGGTACAACGTAAAAGAAAGAACAGACTACACTGTATTTATAAACACACACACACACACACACACCATATATAATATATATATATATATATATATATATATATAATATATATATATATATATAATAATATGCATACAAATATTATTCCAAAGTCTAAATTATTGAAATACGTACATTTCTAACGCACACATCTTAACATGTATATGGATACGTAAATAACAAACGCACAACCAACACACAGACACATTGACACAAACAACCATGCAAGCGAGCACGCCACGCCCCCTCAAAGGACTTTATTTTTTATTAATATTTTGAGGGATCGCCAGCTTTACCTTCACTCAACTCAAGAACAGCTGCTGATATTGCATTCGGTTTGTGATCAGAAACTGTAGTCTCATGCTTCATGCACATACAACAGCTCCCTCCCCCTGCCCAATGCTGCCAGTAGTGTGTATCCTCGTGTGTTTGTGTGCATGTTTGTGCTTGTGAGCGTGTGCGTGTGTGCGTACATCCACCACCCAGCTTAAACCATAGCGCAGAATACCAACGGTAGAATCGTGTACATTGATAGTTTAAAACTATTTTCTAATAAGAGAATATTGTGTGATTAACAAAAATAAAACCAATACCGTATTTGAACACAAAATGAATCACCCGCAACAGGAATAACATGATAAATCATCCCATCTCTAACTACTAATCCTCATCAGATAACGTAAAAAATAACAATGAGAAATCGAAGTGTATGATGGACTCACATCAGGTCTATACAAGTACTTATGAGGACTTATATGTACTTCTATAGAGCTTGGACTCACATGCACGAAGATGGCACAGACTTTCATGTTGGCTCGGACGCGGAAAATCCTCTTTTCTCCAGTCTTCATGTAGTACGTTTCTCCGCACGTCACTGCTTGGTTGGGAATAGTGCATTTAGTGATTATTTTGACCTGATATTAGTCCTCTAGTTATTATTCTACTATTAGAACTTTTGATCGATTGTTCTTATAAACGTTTTGCACAATTCCTGTACTTTTTGGCAATCCTCAGAAGAGTGACATCT